CATTTCTTCTCCTCGCTCAACAAAAGGATATCTGCGCCTTCCAACGGTTGGCTGAACAAGCTGAACATGGCGAAGCGGAACAGATACTTAGTGGGGCAGCCGTATAGTTCAGCGGAGCCATCCAATTCTTCACGCTCAACAAAAGGATATCTGCGCCTTCCAACGGTTGGCTGAACAAGCTGAACATGGCGAAGCGGAACAGATACTTAGTGGGGCAGCCGTATAGTTCAGCGGAGCCATCCAATTCTTCACGCTCAACAAAGGATATCTGCGCCTTCCAACGGTTGGCTGAACAAGCTGAACATGGCGAAGCGGAACAGATACTTAGTGGGGCAGCCGTATAGTTCAGCGGAGCCATCCAATTTTTCACGCTCAACAAAAGGATATCTGCGCCTTCCAACGGTTGGCTGAACAAGCTGAACATGGCGAAGCGGAACAGATACTTAGTGGGGCAGCCGTATAGTTCAGCGGAGCCATCCAATTCTTCACGCTCAACAAAAGGATATCTGCGCCTTCCAACGGTTGGCTGAACAAGCTGAACATGGCTAAGCGGAACAGATACTTAGTGGGGCAGCCCGGTATAGTTCAGCGGAGCCATTAAATTCTTCTCCTCGCTCAACAAAAGGATATCTGCGCCTTTCAACGGTTGGCTGAACAAGCTGAACATGGCGAAGCGGAACAGATCGGGCGTAGTCGCGGAAGCGGGTGACCTGCATGGGGAAGAAATGGTACTCGTCTCCCAAGCCGCCGAAATTCAGGTGGATATCGCGCAGAATGAGCAGCGGTAGACGCGGGTTCAAGGCAAAAAAAAGCTGGTAGCAGACGAAGGATATGTCGCATTCATGCCGGTGCCCGACGACGATCGTCAGACTTTTCGTGGTGGAACGGATGGAGCCGGACAGGAGTCGGAGCGCGGCGTGGTCTCTTCCGATCAAACACTGAACATCGCCCTTGCTGCAGAACCGGCAGCCGAAAATGATGTGCTCCGTGTTGCGCGGTTCGCTGAGAATTTGCTGCCACAAGGCGCACACCCTGTCAGAAAAACGTAAAGGTTTTGCGTCACTTATGGATAAATGTGCGAGCTGCTTAATCGCCGCTGACCTTTTGACTGTAGCCTGGGTGTGTAAGTCCAGCTGCAGGAGGATCGCGGTCCAAAGCGGAGGTGGAAGATGAGCGAAGTCGGCACCGTCCAAATCGACTACGGTAAAAGCTACCTTGAAGCAGTACTCCTATTTTATTAGAAAGGTCACTTTACTGATCACTTACGCTGACCTCCATTTTCGCAGCGCCTCTTCCTGCGGCCGCCAGGATGCTCCGTGGAGGCTAAACTGTTCAGTTGCGACATGAGCCCCACTTGTTCGGCGCGATGTTGCTGCAGCACCTGCAGCAACGTGGCGGTCGTCCACTCCGCCGACATGACCTCCATCGGAGCGCTTAACACGATGAAAGTGCAGCTGTCCGTTCCGATGCGCAGATGGAAGCGACAGCTGTCATGTAGCTTCTTCAGGGTGTCGTGCCCGCTCATAGCGTCACGGAGACGTTGGACGAGATGAGTTCGGTCGGCGGGACCTCGCAGCACGGACGGAGCCCCGGGGAACGGGATGACCACCTTGACGTAGTGGATGCCACTGCCGGCATTGGCGTGCGACGCTCGGGCCGACGGCAATTCGGTGACGATCTGGCAACGGTCCACCACTTCGAAGGTGGGTGCAAGGTTTTCTTTCAGTGAATCGCCCCTCGGCGCCGGAGGGGTGGTAACAAAACAGACGCGGTCGTGTTTATCCGAGATGCCGCCCATCATCGTCGCCGCTCGGAAGCGGAAGGGTCCGTTGAGCTTATCCTGCAGCGCCACCTGCACCCTGTTCCCACGTTGCCAGCGGTGGTCCAGGGGATCGTCGCCCGGAAACGGAGCCAGCCACACGTGACTGGCCTCCATCCAGCGCGCATCCGTCCCTTCGGAATCGCACTCGACCAGAGTTTGTTCGCCATTGTCGGAGATATCTTGAATGTATCCCAGCCAATAAGAATTACGGTCGCTGTCAGACTGCACCACCACCGTGATCTGGTAGCCAAAAGAACGGCCATCCGACGCCACACGCATCCGCCGGAACGGTGGCAGTGATATCGAGGATGCCATAATTCCATTCATTTTATAATGGTCACACCGTGTTGCTCGTGGCGTAGCCAACGCATTTCGTGCCAACACCAAGGGGACTTATTTCTGTGCTGATAAATGCGCTGGCTTGACGCTCGGTTATATACTTGTAATGATGCTGCCCCCATAGACGCTTTGCGGATTTCAACAGTTTCAGATAGCGAGAGCGAAGAAGTGGTTTAATGGTGTCACACTGGTGTGCCAAGCCTCCGGGAAGCGAGAGTCTCTCTCTTCAGCTTTGATTGCGAATTTGCAGTTCCATGTGGGTCAGTTCAAGAAGCAGCAGCGGCATTTAGGGCGTCTGTGACTACTACCACTCAGACCACACTCACAGGCAATGTGGACCAGTTGTGCTGCGCAGATCGGACAGCAACATGCTGCGCGCCACAACTTTGGCCTCTGACACCTTACTGAGTGGGAAGAATGGGAAGAATGGTGTTACAGACAGTCGGACGAGAAAAGTTCCATTCGGCAGCCACATTGCGGTTATTGCACAATTGGTTAACCCGGTTCATAGGACGCGAATAGCGCCGGCACTCAACTGATTCAAGACGCCTTGTGGCTCCGGCATACTTGGGACGGCACAAGTCGTGTCACCGCACCTGTCTTGTTGATTACCGAGCCATGTTGTATGATAAGAAATAACAGAAAATATGCCCTTGCTCGCTGTAATTTTAGGAAATGATTTGTTATTTCCCCAAGCCTAAGCAAAATAACACAATTTGTAAGCGCAGACAACAGAATTTAGAGAAAACTATGTACATGTCAGTTAAATAGGGAGCACCTATCAAGTATCAGCTATATAGTATGATATCAATTAGGAGTCAGTGTGGCACGGAAATCACTAGCCATTGTGGTGAATATGCCTTCCTGCTGCTAGCTCTGCATAAGCGGGTTCCGATTACACAGCCAAAATCCTTAACATTTTAAGACGGTTCTATCGATAGTCTACCGCGGAACAGTTAAAAGAATGCATGAAACCTCTGCAGTCGCACTGTGAACGACTTACAGTTTGAAATATCCCCGAACCTCGTATCTTTCCCGGGATGGACCAGACCGCTCACCCAGCGCTCATATCCTTGCGCCATCTGAGCGTAAAGGTCATCGCTGAGTTGCGGACAGTGGGCGTTGACGGCCCACCGGAAACGAAGGTACACAGTGCCGTCGACCGCATCGCTGTGGATAGCTCCGCTAGCCAACGTGATTTGGTCTGACTGGAATGTGGATGCTGACTTGTTCAGCGGAACTCTCTGCTGCTGATTCGCCAACGGCAAGTGACCTAACCAACAGGAATGGATTTAAGGAGTTGGGAGTTAGCATTTGATTTATGGGGAAGAGCTGCTTATAGACAATAAGTTATAGTGCAGTTCATCCGGTTTTTTGTAAGTAATAGCGCATACTCGTATGTAAGTAAACCAATGGACAATTTGTAGAAGAGCGTGCTGCGTCTGTACTTTGGAGCGCAGTCGTTTGGAGTTCAAAATATAGTTCGGTTCTGTTAATCTCGTTCATAGTTATATTTACAGAAGCCGACGAGCTAGGGAAACAGGGCCTTCCTCCGGTGTCAACGATTAGCCGGGTGTCTCGATCCCTAAACACGCAGGCCCGTCTTTAGCTTTTTTGGGAGGGGGGCGGGCGCAACTTTGTTCTCCTCGAAAAGAACAATGGCGCCAGTTCCGAATTTCCTTTTTTAACAGCGGGTTTAAGGCCCAAAAAAGCTGCCAGCAGACGAAGGATATATCGCAGCGGTGGCGAGGCCAGACGATTTGGTAACAACATGACAAATGTCCACCACTTCGAAGCTGGCCGCAACGTTTCCCTTTGGTGAAGAGTGGTGGTGACAGAAGCGATGGTGTTGTATTTATCCGACATGGTGCCGTAGAATCGCTGCTCGGAAGCGCAAGGGACCGCCGGTTCATCCCGTAGCGCCAGCTGCACCATGACCATGGTCTCACGATACCGGTGGTAGTCCGAGGGATCATCGCCCGGAAACGGAGCCAGCCACACGCCAACCCGCTGCTGGCTTTTCGCGATTGGGTGGAAGGTGTGGGCTAAAAGCGCAGCAGTGCGGCGTGGACGCGTTGGCTGCGGCATTCTGTTGCGCCGTTGCTGGTCCCTGCACGACCGGCAACGGAAGATGTTGTGCTGCCTGGGGCGAGAACAACCTATGCTGCCATAATGCACGCACTCGGCCATTGGTTAAAGATCATCAGCAATGTGTAGGAACTTGCAAGTAGAGCACTGGCTGACGTTTTGATGGATGTTTACACCGTGACCTTTCGCCGAGGACAAGTAGTTTCAGGACATTGTGGCGGACATCGCCAGTTCATCTGGCCGACAGACGCTTTGAAGGGGGACATTTGGTCGGTAGGACACCATACGGCTCTATATGTCGTCGCGGGCCAGTTCGACACGGAGACGTTTCGCCGTGAGACGGTTTTGACGAAGAGACATTGCCTCTATCAGACAAAAAATCAGAAAGCATATTAACCATAAGAAGGCATAACATAAGAAAACATAAGAAAGCTTAACGAAAAAAGCCAATGTCATGAAATCTGGAAAAACAGAGCGCGCCGAAAGAAGCTTGCCGAATTGCCGCCTGATTCCATAATCCCAAGACGAATTGTCCGCGACCAGATGCTTTGCGTCAAAATGTCACAAAGTTTACATGCCTCAAGGCCGTAAGCTCGAAAGCGAAGTGTCCCAGCGTCTGGATATCCCACGGCGCAAGTCGAGCCTCGGATGTAAGTGCGGCAAAATGTCACACTCTCAGTGGAAGGGGGGTTGTGCGTTAGAAGGCCATTTTGACGCCAGAAAGAACAACCGCTGCGTAATGTCTGTCCGATCTAACTTTAATAGTCAATAGCCATCAAACAGCCAACAATTGGGAAAGCGGGCAAGCAGTATAGATGACACTCGAAATCTAACCAATACAAAAGCAACCGCAATTCCTGCTTCCAAATATAAGCAAATGTTCTCTTATTACCGCTAACGCGAGAAACCCATCGGATTCCTCGAGTAGGGTATCGGTGCCAAAAAAACATAAGAATCCATAATAAGTTTAGCAAAACTATTTGTACGAGCCGCTACTTGTCAAACACGAAATACGTCGTTGATTCCACACACGGCCAATCGGCTCCAGGTGCGCACATCCTCAGTGCGCAGATCCACGTCGTTCCATCCCTTTGGCGTGCCGTCGGCGTGGAACCCACTGAATCTGCAATTAACCACAGATCCGAGGTCAACTAACGTTGCAGTTGTAAGACTGTCTCTGGTTTAGCCGCATTCAACTTTCCGGTCACGGGCGCCCAACATACGCGACAACTGTGTTTTGACCGTCTGATACCGACCCTATTTTCTGCGACCCAGCTCTTTCCAGCCTCACACCCAAAGGGGGCAGATCGTCCGTGCCCACTAGCTGATCACTGCCAGTGTTGAACGACAGTCATTTGGAAGTTTTTCACGCAAACCCGTGCAGTTTTAGTTTCTCTTTATGATTTTAGAAAAACAATGCACGCCATGTGCTTACTACCGTAGTATCCCAAGCACTGATTGGCGGCGTCATTGGCTCGTCCGCCCCGGCAAAAGACACGTAATAGTTGATACATATTATTATGGGCATGCTGGATACTGTAACGCGGGCTGTTATGCCGGCCTTCTAATGGGCTGCTTGTTGACCGTACCACGATGTCGTGTGGGCTGTTGATGGAAATGTCGGCACTGCCGGGCGTGAGCTTAGCTGTGAAGCGCAGGTGGGTTTACAGTGACAAAGACGAGCGGGATAGAAACTTAGTAAAATAAACTCAGTTATTAAAAGAAACTCTGATTGGCGGCATTATTGGCACGTTTAGAGTAGGTATATTTGCTGCGCTTCTTCCGGTATACCTATCGACTCTGTGGTTTAACTTGTGCGGACGGCTCCAGACTACAGTATAATGGTAAACGGCAAACTATGCACAGATTAAAAATAAACCATCAAGTTCATGCTGCTTTTTCCACTCCCTAAAACACAAGCTGTACAATACATACTGTACTTCGCAACTCACACTGTCAGATAGGCTCGGATCCTGTCCCATTCAGCCGGATACTGCAGATTGCGCACCCAGCGCGCATGCACGGCCGTGACCTTGGCGTAGACGTCGTCGGTCAGCGGCGGAAGTGGCTGTCCAAGGCCCACATGAACCGCTGCGCCATGCTTTCGTGGCCATCGCTGCTGTGCAGCACCAGCTGCGGGATCGTGATACGCAGGGCCTCGCCCGCCAGGACGCCGACGTGAGCACGGCATTTCAGGCGCGCCATCCACTGCGTTTCGTCGGGGGCAGAGGAACTAAATCGTCGATGACGTGGGGGGTGGAACAGTAGAGCAGCTCGAAGATGGCATCGCCGAACATTTCATACACGGTCCAGTTGTACAGCAGAACACGCCGACAGCACGCGTCAAACTCGGCCGGCTGCATCGCCACTGCGTACCGCAGTCGATCTGGTTCCGCGCCGTAACAGCGATATATCGAATATGGAGCACATGTTGTAACCGTACAGCCTTTGAACATTATGGTCGGTACGGTGATTCCCATGGCTACTAACAGGTTTCTCAAACGAGCGGGACTGCTGAACAGCTGCAGCACCGTGATACTTTTGGTCGCTACGTTGACCGTACGGCTCAGGAGAGACGCGACTTTACCGTAGTTCAAATCGGGAGACATTTTGGTGCAAGAGCAGGTTTCAAAGCAGATGCTGATGTGCTCCGTTGCTTGAGGACGGCTGAGCAGCGCAAGCCATAGCGCACACACTCTGCAACAACAGCCCAATCAACATTATAACCTATACTGCGGAGTAAAACGTTCAAAACACCATGCACGCGGTTAAAAATTAGAACTGCAACTTGCGCCCTAGCTCCACTGAATTTTGACAGAATCAGGAATGCAGGTTGTACCGCACATTAATTATCGAAGTTGCACCCTCGGGGTGAGTACGCTTGAACGCCATGGTGGAGGTCAGCAAAGGCTCATTTCTGGGAACAAATACCATTTCGGAGGGCACAACTTTGACGCAACATTCCCTCCTGAAAAAGTCCATCCCCACACGCACTACACGGCAACCGCCTCGTCAGTGGGTCGCCCATGTTAGGGAAGTTAGGGAAAGAGAACCACTGGTGTTCTAAGTGCTACCATTTTTCTAGATTGAAAAGATTCCCCGATTCTGATGTCCTAGCCGGACTTGCTCTAAAAGCACTTCGCCAGTAGATGTCGCTTCTGAAAAGGTCGCTGCAATTATTTCATCTCGGTAGCAGACTAGCAGGTAGCCCATGAAACTGCTGTGTTTGACTTTGACATACTCTCAAGTCGGCAAGGAAATTTAACTGGCCCAACACAACACACGCTCATTATCAAACTGAGAAAACTCCGCTGCAGCAGGCAAATGATACAACACAGCTTAGAATTGCAAGCATTATTAGACTCTTCAGGTTTATTCAAATTATTATGACACGTTTTGTAGCTTGCAGCCTATTCGCAGTGCTTAGAGACTAATTCAACCGGCGCAACGGTCAATTTCGATTTTAGCTAATGGGTGCGCACTCACGGGATAATCCCTACAGTACCGTTTAAGCCTCATGCAGGAGTGCAGGTCGTGATGAGCAAAAACTTCGCAGAGCAGGAGAAGCGGTAGATCACTGATCACAGTGTCCGAAGATTGTATAGCCGCTCGCATATCTAAAAGCAGACAACAATTTGCGCAAAACTGCCAAAAACACTGCTAAAGATTTTTAAATCAGTGACGAGCACTATTCGCAAACGGTCAAGAAACTAAGCATTATCACAATACCAGTGTTAAAATTTGTTAACAACCCAAAGTATACAGAAAAACGATTGCATTTTGCTTGTGAATTTCGAAGCGTAAATACTAGTACAGTAAATTCAAAAAAGGAAGCAAAGTCGGCTCTTGTACTGTTTTTTATAAATCACTAGGAAGCTGCACTTTTGCGTGCATAGGTAGAGCGGAGCGCAGCGTGATTGGTTGGAGGTTGCTCGTCATCGGCTATTTTACTTCGTATTTACTTGACGAACCGTTGCATTTTTCCTGGCGTACGAAGGGTGCGTTTAACGCGTGACAGCCCAAGTGGTCGCGGGACATTGCATCGTGGGACATTTCGCCACACGTTTTTCGTCGCAGCGGCTAATTTGTTTTGCGATAACGCGTTTTGCAGCCGTTTTGTTGTGTGACATTTGGCCACGCGACTTTTTGGGATACGAAGAAAAATTATCGACTGATTTGTAGCAACGAACAGTCATAATTATGACTATTTGAAACAAAAGCGAGTTGCCCATAGACAAAATGTCCGTAAAACCAAATGTCCCGCGACGACCTGTCGCGTAGCCGTTTAACGAGCCATGTACGAGATTTATTTATACATGGCTGTTTGATGGTCTTCCTTGGTTCACTGAAATGTTGTTGTTTCGTCTTTATGCCGATGGAAGACAAAACGGAAATGTGGCCGGAACCAGGCTTGCGGAATAATGCGAAAGGTTTTTTAAAACAAATTGGCACTATACGAAGTTTTATCGCATTGTTTTTTACCGTCAAAAAGATCAGTTCCCCTTAGAGTTTTTTCGTCACTTAATTTGTCCCACTTATCGTTGGTCATGACATTACAAGCTGGTGAAGCTGGGCAGAAACTTTTAATTATTGGCCCCAGGATGGCCAAGGTCAAAAAGAGGAAGGAATAATTAAAGGAAGGAAATTCCATGGTCAAACAGAGGAAGGAATATGACCTTGGCCTACAGGATATGTAGAGAAGTGATGACGTAATAAGAAGGTTGCAGAATAAGGAAGTGATTGCGTAATAAGAAAGTTATCTTCCGGCCAAGGTCAAAAAAAGGAAGGAATAATTAAAGGAAGGAAATTTTTTTGGTCAAAAAGAGGAAGGAATATATTTAAAGGAAGGGATGTTTTTTTGACCAAAAAGGAAGAAAATTTCGATGGTAAAAAAAATGAAAAACATTTTCGTTGTCAAAAAAGGAAAGAAATTTCGATGGTCAGAAAAAAATTTTTTTGCAGTTAATGCGCTAAGAAAATTTTTAAAAAGTTTGGGGAATTAAGTACTTACGCGCTACTGTCCGTTTGATCAAGTAATGCAGAATAAGCGTTACAGAATGAGCGTTATAATATGCAGAATAAGCGTTACCTGTTAATTTTACGGTAAGAGTACGTACGGCGCAAACTGTTCTTATAGAATGTTTTAGAAGTCTGGCGTTTAAATAATAATGGCGCGGTCTTTCGATTATACTGTTATCAAATTTATGCTGCAAATCCAAAGATTCAGTGTTAAACTTAAACAAACCATAGTATGTTCACAAAGATAGGTTAACATGCCACAAAATAAGCAACCGCAAAAGAAGTACTTAAGTAAACACAAAATTAGTAAGTGCATCTGACCACAAATTCCACAATGTACACTACATATCAGCTGAACAAAATAGGATCAAGGAGATGTTAATTGTTGTCAAACCAACGAAAAATTAACTGCTGTCAAAATTAATAGTTCTCTCCGAAACTCTACGATAACTTTGAGTTCTTAAAGTGTAAAATGTATTGTCAACTGAGGTGCCGGTGTCCGTTTGTTATAATCACAATGATGGATTCGTATGTACAGATACTCAACATCATCATCGTGAGCAGGAGGCTCCATACTTATTATTAGCTGTAGTTGCGTCACATTAATAAGCCAAATTAATTGTTACATTAATTAGTCACATTAATTGGTATTTGCGAGAATTTGTCTAGAACCCGACATGACCCACGAATTTGCTACCGGAACGTGAGACTACACCATGCCCATGGTGCTTTACTGAAATGAGTGAATGAGGAATAACGCATGCCAGCATAATTATGCAAACTTTCTTACCCTATCTGCCACTGCTTCTGATATGAGTGCATTCTGTAAAAAAGGCAGGCGCCTTACTCCTACTGATAAGTCACGTATCGTTGCAGGAACGCAGAGTCGCAGACTAAAAAGTTATAACTCCCGCAAAAACGACGCAAAGCATTTGTCTGTTGTGTGTTAACCGTTAACAGTTAACGTGCTGCGGTGTATGTACACTGTAAATAAGGAATATTAATAGCAGGAAGTATTAAGCAGGATATGATTTTTAAATGGGGCTGCCTCATCGGGCATCAAAGGCGACCGCCACTGCTGTTATTCTTTCATTAAGAGGCTGATTCAGGCCTCGACGATTCAGCACATCAAAGCAAATAACGTTGTACTGCACTGCAGCACTACCGTATTTGTTATGTAATTCTACTGCATTTGTTGTTGTTGAGTATTCGTTTTTCTGTTATTTGTCAACAAAATATTCCTAGCACCAAAGCACACTAAGAGCACGTTTAATTACTTGTTATCGCAAAATTAATAGGTTTTGCTGTAACGCTTAATCTGCATTACTTGATCAAACCGACAGTAACGCGTAAGTACTTAATTCCCCAAACTTTTTAAAAATTTTCTTAGCGCATTAACTGCAAAAAAATTTTTTGTTTTTGACCATCGAAATTTTTTTCCTTTTTTGACCACGAAAATTCCTTCATTTTTTTAAACCATCGCAATTTTCTTCCTTTTTGGTCAAAAAACATTCATTCCTTTAAATATTCCTTCCCCTTTTTGACCTTGGCCTATCTTCCACTTCCGGGACAGACAGACAGCCGGACAGACAGACATTTTCGTAGTTTTACTGAATTAAAGGACCTTCGTTGCGCTCCCGTCGATTGTACTTTATGGATGTTCTTGCCACCGTCATTGCCCTGCTCTGGCTTCATTATCACTACTGTACTCTACCGGAGTAGCACTTACCTTCGCCACCGAGCGCGCGACCATGGCCGCAAAGGTCGCCGTAATCAGTCGGGGGCCGATCGGCCCGAGAGTCCACGTGGGCTTGCAGCAGTGCCGACAGCGCTGCCACCGACTGCTGCTCGGTCTCCACGCCGCCTGCCCGGCTGATGATGATAAACGTGCATCCACTGGCTTCAGTGCGAAGATGGAATCGGTCGTAATAAGGACAGCCACCCATATATGCCACATCCTTTCGATACGTTCTACAGCAACGTTGGATTATACGCAACTTGTCGGCGCCGTCGCGCAGAACCTCTTGCGCCCGGGCGAACGGAATAAAGTGTTTGCGGAAGATTAAACCGCTGCTGCGGTACAGCAGCGCCGGCTCGTCCCACGCCGACTGCCCGACAATTTGGCATACATCCACCAATTCCGTCCGACCAGTGCAAGACTCGCTACCAGCTCCAGGTCCATCCGTTCTAATAAAATACATATACGGCTCGCCCAAAAAAATGACATGATTCAGTACCACCGCCCGGCGAAAGCGGAGTGGCCCGTCGTCCTCATCACGGAGTGCCACCATTACGGGGACGTCTTTCCAATCGCTATACCGAAGAGCCGACAAAGGCCACACCCGTCCCGCATGGATCCAGCTGGCGGGGACCTTTTTGCCAGCAAAGTGGATGAGAGTATAGTCCCCGACGATATCCTGAATGTGGCCCAGCCAATACGCACCGTCCTCGTTGCGGACCGCCACCGTGTTGTGATAGCTCAACTGGTTGACATCCACCAGCAGCCGCTCATACGGGGGCATCGGCCAAGAGTTCATAGTGATCTAAGCAGCAACCGAAGGTGATTAGCAACAGCTTCCACTGAGTACGGCAAACTGGCAATTACTGCAGATTCTTTGTAGTTGTAGTTTGTAGTACTTCCAGGGCACATTTTCCGGGTCCAAATTCAGAAAAATCTGATCTTTGGCAGAAACATAGTATACCATCGTAGCATATTTAAAAAAATAATTTCAGCTGCTGACACTCAAAGGGCGTGGCCAAACATAATTATTAATTAAGTAATAGCACATACTATTGCACTGCACTAGTGTAGTACTCTAACAGCTGTTTGTATCAGTGTAATAATAATAAATCAGAAAATTCTCATCTTTTGCCGAATGACAGTGTACGACTATAGCACGTTTAAAAAATAATGAACTCTAATATTTACCACAAGTTTCGGGAGCACCCTGCACACAGTGAGGAAAAGCAAAATCCAGATTAAATACAGTGGCAATATGTGGTACATACTGTTGCACTACCGCAAAGAATCGCAGCTACAAAACGGTTTTTCTACTCTGTCGTCTTAGAGTTTGCACATTAAATTTTTCATTAATCAGAATGTGGCAAAGTACGTTTCTGCAAGAGGTGAAATTTTCCTGATATGCTGTCATTTTATAAAAAGCCTGTGCGGGTATAACGCTAGTGCAAAATAATAACATGCAGTATTACTTACTTATTAATTTTGTTTGGCCACGCCCTTTGAGTGTCAGCAGCTGAAATTATTTTTTTAATATACTACGATGGTATACTATGTTTATGCCAAAGATCAGATTTTTCTGAATTTGGACCCGGAAAATGTGCCCTGGTTAGTAGCAGTGAGAACAATACAAGAAAAACGCACGCTGCGTGCATTGCCAGACGGGAGCGAGAGTAACAGAAATAATTAAGTGTAATTTCCGTTACCGTCCTCGTCCGCCTCACAAGTTGTACGACAAAATAGGCTCACGGATAGTACGCAATATACAGTCAAATGCCAACGCATGTTGCAAGGTTTTTCTCTTGTAATGTTGGCTTATGAATTTGGTGGACAACTTCTGTCTAGGCCCGCTGACACTGTGAGACGTTTTGCGGGAAGCAGTAAGTCTCCAGTTAGACTCTAACATTTGTTTGAGTGGACGTCTCGGCCTCCTATTCTCCCGTCCGATTTATCTGTACGTGAAGGGGCGGAGTTAGTTCGTGACAAAAAAGTACGAAAATAAAGTACTTGTAGGACGTGTAAAACATATATGCATTTCCTGCCATAAGGGAATTTAACTCCTTTGGGTGGGTGAGCAGAGATGCGGCTCACGTAAAGCGACAAAATCTTTCAAAGGATTTCAGCGTATTGCGCCGGGGTGCAGTGGTACTGCCTACGCGGATCTAACGACGTAGCCGGGGTTCGATTCCCCCATCGGCGCCTTTTTCAGCCGTATCTCGGTTTCCAGTGGATAGCGCCCTGGTTTTAGGTGGGAGGGGCACCGAGAATCGAGAAAACAGCAACAGAGCGTGCTGCAAAATTGTCGAAAATTAAAGAAAAAAAGCAAAACCGGTTCAAAATTTTGTACAGCAAGGTGTGAAATCAAAAATTACATGGAGTGGGCATTTTCGCACGAAGCGCGAGGCCAGCAAACGTTTCCACTGCGGAAACTGCGAGAAAGTTCATAAAAAATGTTAAGCATAATTAAATTTCTTTTGCAGTGGACGTTACTAAAGGTCAAAAGCAATGCTTTATCATGTACAGTATATGTACTGAATTTAGAGAAAAAGTTTTATTTGCGCGCAAAGCATGCACATGTTCTTACTGCTGAAATTTCCAAAAATTCGATAAAAACGGTTTCAAGCTTTGCAGAAGTTCCCCTTGGAACACGGCTTATTTTAATACAAGAATAAGATTTATTTTGTGCTATGGTTATATGAAACATAGATATTGTGGGACGAAGTACCTATAGACACACAGTTAACTAAGTTTTATTCATTAAAGAGGTACTAAATTTGCGATTAGCGGGAAGCCGACCGCTGCCGACGTACAAACGGTTTGCGATTGCAAAAATCGCTGGAAATTTTACTAAAAATAATAATTTCTGTAGTTTTTATGTAGTCGGATTTGGTTTTATGTACCCGACTACTGTAGTAGTCGGGTTTGGTTTTCAGCCTCCCGTGCCCCATTAAAAGTAGACAGGTGATTGATATTTATTTTGGTACTTGTATCCACATGTGTAGTCACTCGTAGTTCGCGTGGGTCACAGTACCCCTTAAATCAGCACTTTTTTGGCGGAAAAAAACCAAATTTTGTAACGATACAAATTTTGTCGAAGTCGGACATGAAGTATACCGGTAGAAATTGCATAAATCCTGGTCGCACAGAAAATGTTGGGACTGTCTTCTAAGTATGTGTATTACTAATTATGAATTTTTTGCATTTGTTTTGTGGTAAGTCAAAGTTTTTAATGACGATTTGAGTGCAGGTGTGATTGTTGCCTACTTGTGTCTGAACGAATTAATAGTTCGCGCTTGATAAAACGGTAACGAACGTGTACAATCCGTACATAATTAAATACTGTTATATACAGCTGATTTCATTTCGGAATACTCCCTGGAAACTTAACAAACTCCCAGTTTTCTGTGCGTTAGGCCGGTAACAAACCATCGGCATCCAGCACAACCTTACTTGATAGCACTACAGGTGCACTTGGATTATGGTGCAATTAGGCAATAAAAGTGCATTGCACATTATCGACGATCAAAAGTTAAAGCAAGGCGATACAGCTGCACTGCGGCTACCCGACACTGCCCAGAAAAAACGGTTGAAACGATGTCAATATCTTTGACTAAATGTCTTTGAGAATGTTGCCAATTTGCTAATACATTAGCTCATATTAATCATTAGCTGCCGGATAGATAAATTTTGAATATATAGCAGCGGATTAACAAAATATTTTACATGGTTCAATGCGGTGTTGAATGCGTTCGACTGAAAACTAAAAAGTCAAGTATGACTTAGGATATCACTGTCAAGTTTTGCCGCGCGCAATAGCAGCGCATGGAATCCGCAGCCGTTACGGCGCGACTCTGTGTGAATTACTGATAAGATGCTTTTTTCGCATCGATACTCCTTACGCGTACGTGCGCGCTTGCGATAATTATGCCGTCTTTTAACCGGTGCATGTCACAAAGCAATATTGTGCGCAGCACTTTTCAAAGGTTAATAATTTAATTAGGGATAAGTGCTAATTTTAGCTTTTGTGCTGCCACTGCTACGGAAAATATAGTGAAACAGCCGTTATGATCGTTGCGGTTCTGGCTAGCATGCTTGATGCTAGGAACAAAGGTCATGAAATTTGCGTTTAATTCATAATTACAGTGTACTCAGTGTATGTACTCTGTAGTTATTCGATGTTTTTCGCATTCCGGACACTTTGACAATATGATTTGCAAACCGGACACCACAGACACGACATTCCTTTAATATTCCACATTAGAAGGCGTGATAAGTGGCTTTATTATTCTCGTAAACAAGCTTGCATAAAATAATAATTATTACATATTCAGTTTTTGATAATTATTTATCAAGTGGAACAACATGGAAAATGCTTTGTCCAGTACGTGAATCGATATTTTCAGATTGTCCGGAATACGAAAAACAAGTAGAAAGGATTTTGTAGTCAGTTATTATTAGGTAAAAACTTAAATATTCAATAATAATAAAAGCCTAATTTTCAAGGTACACGGTCGCAACGTACAATAGAGTATACACCGCACCTACGTACAAAATGCACTCTCAATTACTGCATGGCTTTATACGAATATCAGCAGCACATGCATTAATTAATTAATACATGACCTTTCTATATTAAGAAAGAAAGACTCTGTAGCCAATGCTTTTCGTAAAGTATTAAGTTAATCGCTGTAATGATTATAATAAAAGTCACAACGCCCCATGAGCAAAATTGGAACTTACTGTTTACTGTTTTGTGTTCGGTCTTTGACAATTTATCCTTAATACACAGTTCAGCGCCATGCATTCTAATTAGTGCAGAGGGCGATTTGCAGACGTAAAGTGTATAGCAGACTTATGCATAGGCATTAATTAACGTATAGCTTAATCATCGTTGTATTGTACGCTCATGCCACGTGTACGTGCAAGGGTAATTTAAATTATTTTTTACAATAAAGGTGTATGAACATGAGCGTTTTTGCTTCTGTACAGATACAAGCATAAATAAAATAATGAAACAGCACATAATGGTTTGGAGTTTGGACAGTGGCAATGTAAAAGCTCAATTGCCGGCAAATGTTTGTCAGCTGAAATCGGTTTTTGTGTTTTCCGAAAGAAATATGTTATATCACGACAGCTTTCATGCTGCACCAGATAAAAACGTAACTGCCCAGACGTTATCAGTCGGCGCGAAAGTGATTTGAGTGAATCGACATGCACTCTTGTGTATCACATGCCGTTTTTTGTGTTTCGCTCACCCGAAACACACAGATTTGTGGTTTCACGTAAACATTATTAGTAGGGGTGCCCCCCTTCTTAAATTCGCCACTCTTTCTAGCTGCCGCATTGATTTTACGCATATCAGATCCAGTAACAAAATTTTGAAAGTTCCTAAAATTCTGGCAGTACTTCTTAGTGTGCGGAGTGCGAAGTCGCTTACCGATCGAAGAAACGGCACGGAATGCAGATTCATCTTAATTCTGGAATTCTTCACGGTACATATATAGTGAGTACCACACTAGAGCGTCTGTACATGTACGAAAACTTCCGCGGCTAAATTTGCGATTCTAAATTACTTTGCTGCATGGTCTTAGAGCGTTTTGTGCCCAAAACTAAGATTTGTATATCGTACTGCACATTGGCGTGAAAACCGTTTGTGCTCGCAACACGTCCGTTTGGAGAGTTCTCGGTGAAATAAAATTCCAAAAGCTTAAACGCAGGAAACTATACTAAAAGCCTCATTATCAACCGGTTTTCTTCAAATTTTCCAAGGTAGCACATCAGCGGGATCGTTGATGTTACACCGAATCAGGTTTCCATAGCTTGCTATTTTATTCGTCGGTACTGGCTTGAATGAGTTCCTATAGCGTTCTATAATTGAAATGCAAAAATCTGTCCGTAAACTGCAAAAATGCACAGGCATGACTTTTTTGATATTTGCGCTTCGTGTTTTGAAAAGTGTCTCAATTATTTGTAATGCTTTCAACGAACAGTGACCTTTAAAAGCTGTCTGGAGTTATATAAATTATTTAGTTATTTTATCGAAATCCAACCATGCCATAAATACTGATTCCTTTGTTAATAAATTTGTTTTATTTTATTTATTCGAAATAATTTTCACTAATTTTACGAATATTCAAATATTTGAAACTAATGGCTGTGAGCCTAAATCACAAGTGTTATACATGATTGCTGGATTTTAATTTTTATGCCGGATATTCTTGAGCATTTTTTGCTGGATATTTTACTGTTTTATGAGTATTTGTCAGAAAATCAAAATTTTTTTGAATATTTTTGTAACACTTACTAACAAAATTTAATCGCCGCAGCAAAAATTGCTCAACATATATACGTATAATATATATCTGATTGGCTGAGTTAGCGCTTAATTAACCAGTTCCGTTTTGGTTTTCTTTATAAGAAATAATAATAAGATTAATATAACTATAAGAAAAATGCGAATGAGAATTTCCCTTCCATCCTTGCTTTTAAATAATTTAGTATAGTGTACGGGGTTTTTTAGTAATAATGACTGGTTGTGAAAATCTCTCTGACGTTTTCATTTCTTTATGTGTATTTATATTCTTCGAATTTTCTGTGATTTTGCAACTTTTTTTGAATTACCTAATAACTTCGACCCTGTATTATACGGTACATCCTGATACTTGCGGCTGTATGCGCTTATTTTGACAAAAATCCTAAATCAATCTGATAATTCATTTGCTTCATTTCAAATTGGTTTTGGGGACACAATTAGTCGACTACAAATTCTTCATTTGATTATAATTGTTGTTGAGCGAAGCTCGCTTTGTACATATTGAGAAATAAAGTACAACAATTAGTAAAAGTAAGTAAATCTGCTGCCGGATAAGTGAAAAGCAAAGTCCACGAAAACTATCGAAAGTAAGCAAATATAAGTCAATCTCCAAAAACGAGTGGTAAAAATAAATGCTTTATATATTGTGAAGAAGTTGTACTACCCAACACAATAACTGAAATATTTTTTTATCTTAGTACTTTAATAGCTATAGAAGCAACAAACATTTTTTCACACATTCTACACAAGTTCATGAGAAGCTGAAATATGAATTTAGACATACTGCGAAGCCAAATAATAGTCTCTTTCATAATGCGAGTCTTTACATGCGGTTTTGCTGCTGTTCTTGTGATAATTTTATAATAATTGGTAATAACTGCAACAACTTCAAATTTCATTTTCAGCCACTAAGAGTTTACACAGCACCAGCATTAAGTTTTGCATATTCCTAAGATTCTATCGATACTACGCAGTAGTTGAATACCTATTAACTCTGCTGAAAATTTGCCGATCGTAACTCTGCGGAGAATGTAGGTTTACTTTAGTTATCGAATCCAACGACAGGATAATGACAATTAACTGCTAATAATTCTTATTCATGGCTAAGCAGGCATCAAGTCGCAGTGTAGCAACTAATAAGACGATGTACGATACACTAAGTGCATGAGTATCGGCTTCTAAAAGTAGTAAAACTTTTGCCAGTCTTCCTAAAAACAGTAAGCAAATATCAAGTACTCGTATCACTGTATCAGCAACTTTACAATGGATTAATGGCCATAATTTTTCAAATTTCAATAAAGACGGGCATTTAATGCAGTCGCCTTCGACATGCTTTAATTCAATACGTTATTTCTATGCTCTCGTGCAAACAAAATGGTAACATAATATCTGTAATTTACGTTTCTGCAACTTACCGTCCAAATGGTTAAAAAAATCCTCGGTCATATAGTTAGTGAATGTGAACAATAATAATCATATCATTATAACGCACTGGAAAAATCAGTAACCAAGTTCGATCGAGATTTTCTACCGAACGTTTTTACAAAGTCGAGGCCGGGATCTCCATTCCATGCGTGACAGTGCAGCCTTGCCCGGGTCGACTAGCTTGCACTAAGCACTGTACGCATGCACTTGCGACTGCGCAACGTGCTGTCATGATCACGGCTGCTGCTAGCGGGCGTCTCACCGGTTCTTAATACGTACTGTCTTATTAGTTCTTATTGTACACAGTGCAACATGTTCATTTCCTGGCAGGGACACAGTACGTACAGTAAAGTACAGTACGGTGAATACGGTATGTACACTGTACATGCTGTATGTACATACTGTATGTGCATAGTGCATACTGAGCACAAGCAATCTAAGTCGAGTACTGTAGGTAGTCCGCCTTCTTCTGTCTGGCGCTTTATCTGTAATTTGTCGATGTTAATGGAGAAAAACACTTGCGTGGCAATTTCCTACAGAAAATTATTGCTTCCGTTGCGTTTAGATTTAATCGAAATACTTGAACTATGCTGGATACGAACCGCGAAAAGGTTATTAACCCAACCAGTCTTCCCACCCGTTACTATTCCCGCCTGCAGGCATAGTGCCACCGTACACTGTTGCGGCCTAGGGTTGAAATCACGCTTTCACCATTTCACATTTCACTTTTCATTTCACTTTCATTTCATAATCACGCGGACCCTCGCGTGAAACGTGAAAGTGAAATGAAATGAAACGTGAAATGCATGAAATGGTGATATCATGAAATCGCTTGAAATGCATCAAAAGCGGACGAAATTAGAGCGATTCACAATATTTCTTGCAACGAAAATGTTCACTCCATTGTATTTTTTTGTGTAACCGCTTCTAGTTCGATATCCTGCATTAAGCAGCACTGCGCGTAAGCATTAATGGTGCAACTGGAAGAGAAGAAAATGTTTATCGTACGCTTTTAGTGCAGGTAATTTCAGAATTCCGAGATATAAATGCATAGGTAGCCAAAAGGCCTAAGATTTAATTCTACCGTTTTTCCCAGTAATACTAACCAGGGCTCGGTCACCGCCTCCCCCCTCAGAAAAATTTCATTTTTTGTTTGAGGACAGAAGAGGTATGCGGAACACTTAAAAAAATACTTTCATCGGCAATGGTCCAGTGGGCGTGGCCAAACACAAATTTAATGGTCGACGTTATTGCCGTATTGCTGTATTATACGTCATATGGTACGAGTATTACAGAATACAGATTACACTGATAACTTTATTTTCCGAGTTCTGTGTTATCCGTTACCACTGAAGCTTTTATTTTTTCATTGATTTTATTTCCTAAATCACTGTTTTGAAAAAATGAAATTGTTAGAGAATTCGCCAATAGCGACTGTACTGACGCCCGTGTGCTGAAATCCATGCATTTTGGAGCTTGATAAGTGGCGAGATTATTAAAAATTTTACTTTTTCAAAACAGTTATGAAATAAAAGAGTGAAAATTACAGTGGTAATAATAATAATGGGTAACACAGTCCTCTGGAATTAATTTATCATTGTAATCTGTAATACCATAATTTTACGATACCGCAATACGACAATGGCAATACATGCAATAATGTCGACCATTAAATTTGTGTTTGGCCACGCCCACTGGACCATTGCCGATGAAAGTATTTTTTTAAGTGTTCCCCATACCTCTTCTGTCCTCAAACAAAAAAACAAAATTTTCTGAGGGGGTAGGCGGTGACCGAGCCCTGGTAAGAATTTGTCTAACTAAAGAAAACTATCCGTGCCAAGGTAGAAGAACTCGCTTTGTCAGACTGGGATCTCGTACAGCGGATAAGAAAGAAATAATCTTTTAGAGGTGTTTACAGTGCAATTAAGATCAAATGCAAATAACGAAATTTCTCCGCTACTTACATTTCCACCTCGCGCGGACAAGCTTAAAAGGCGCGCTGCGCGCCCAAATACGACTAGTATCTAACTCGAAGGAAATTCCGTGCCGCAGTACGCTACTGCGCTGTTTTCTTGAATAGAAATGAACATTTTCTTTGTACGCCTTGTTCTTATATACCGATTACCATTTTCACACTTCTACTCCTAATTTTAGTTTTAAATAGTTTTATCTTATTCTGTACTAAAAATAAAAGCAAATTGCAAAATGTTTTTGCACTTACTGTATAGTCTGTACTGAACAATAAATTTACAGTACTCGTAGTAATCCACTTGCAACGAATTTTTTTGAAATATTAAACTTCTACTATAGTACTGTGCAGTTGCAGTATTAAGTAATGTTTTAACTGCTTTTGGCTGTTTGCAACCCTAATAAAAGCCAAAAATTAATAATCAATTTAATTTTTTTTTTCACGTTTCATTTCATTTCACTTCATTTCACTTTCATTTCACTTCTTTTCACAAAGTGGTCTAAGCCTCGTGAATTTCAACCCTAGTTGCGGCAGTGTTGCCAGTAAAAATTAAATGTGCTCTGTAGTTGTAGCTTGTACATGATTAACGGCTGCTTGTTGTGGTAGATTTCCACGTTAACTGCCACGCTCCTTTCTTTGTCCTTCTGACGGCTACATACCGCATGGAGCGTCAGTTGCTTACTGCTATGAGGCTGTTATCAACCGCCAACCACATCGCAAACGACTAAAATTAGGCCCGCGCTGAGCGCTGAGTCTGAGTCTGACCCCTAAAAGGCTGAGTCTGACTACTGAAAGTCTGAGTGTGAGCACTAAAGGGCTGAGTCTGACTACTGAAAGTCTGAGTCTGACCACTAAAGGGCTTAGACTGTTAAAGTAATATCTTGATGACTTTAACTCTTGACCGTAAATATGCGTCCAGCGAATCATATGGTCCATGCGCCTGTGGTCAATACGGATTCTGCGTGGATCAACTCACCACTTCGATACCCTACGTGGACGTACGTACGAAGGGGCCTCAACTTTGACTCAACTTTGATACGGATGCGATATAGAGTGATACTGATCTTGTTGTTCTGTGGCTTTGTGCCTTGTGCATGACGTAGCTTTGTGCCCGTATTAGCCTACAGCAATTCTGTGACGTGTTGCTTCTCTACCGTACGTATTACTGGTGACTTGAATAGCCTTAGCATATTTGATGTTCTTCAACGGATAAGGATATGTGAGAGTGCCCGTTTACGGGCTTGGCTACTCGAAATTAAATCAATCAATCAATCAATCAGTCCAGCATATGGTACATACAACGCTAAAACAAAGAAGTAACGTAAAATTGCAAAATGTTATTAATCTGGCAACACACCATGCGGTACACCAAATCCGATACACCAAATCCAATACGGGACGTTTACCGTGTGTTCTTAAGAGTATAACTGCAGCAACACAAACGTTGAATAGAACGAAAGAAATAACCACAATTGTAGCGCTATTCGGCATTTCCGGCCAAAATAAAATAAAACTTATTTCATTTACATGTAATTCATTTACGTAATTGCTGTACCATACCGAATAATAACTTGTTTTGCTCAAAGCTTGTTTTGCTCAAAACTATGCAACAAAGCTAAATAAATTGAATAAAACACATGCGTTACACCAGAAGAGAAACAAAGAATAGCACTACCTCAATGGAAAATGTACCTGTCGGCTTCTCACTACAATAATAGTATGAGGTGTTTGTTGATGCGCGTATCATGCAGGTTCAAAGAATAGCACTAATTATAGCTTATGTTAATGAAGCAAAAATGAAAAAACCATACAGCGTTAATTGCAGCAACATTATCAGCCTATCTTTAATGATTATACTAGCCTATTCTGCTAAATTAGTATGAGAATTTCAGTTTCGCACGACACAGGCATAACAAAACCACCGACTCGCCTTCGTAGCTGATCAGCTGGAAGTTAATCCGAAATAACTAGGTAAAAACTGCAAAGAACAGTATAAATTTCAGAAGTTGCACAAAATCGTAATGAAGATACCGTCACTCTGAAATTACCCAGATGGAATTTATTATAATTTATGACCATCGGCATTCCAGATAAAGTATACTTATATGCCTATCTAGCCATCGTTGCTATGCAAACCTGTGATCAATAATCGACCGGAGCGAAGCGAAGGTCCTCTTAATTCAAGACCAATGCATTCGTTGATTTCTGTCCGTTACGGAAATTCGTTACGGAAGTGCGTTACGGAAGTAACAGTATGACGTCATCGCAGCCGACAGCAGTGATGTCATCGCTGGCACCATGACTTCAGGGCCCTATAGAGGGGCATTGCAGCCGTTGATTTCTGTCCGTTACGAGCCTACGTTACGAAAGTAACAACGTGACGTCACGGCGTGACTCAGTATGTCACGCAGCTGACCGCTATGACGTCACTGCAGGTGTTGTGTATGACGTCATGGGTAACTCATCTGACTGCTGGTCGCAGCGGATTCATACAGTGGTACTGCAGCGCTTTATTCTGACAATTGCAATTCGTTACGGAAATACGTAGTTGCCGCAGGTAACCGCCGTGATGTCATTGTTGGGTGTTGTTCTGTTGCGGACCGAGGCGGAAGTTCTGGCAGTAATAATTTTTGTTCGTTACGCAAGAAACGAACTAACGAAGAACTGTCGATGTGCAAATAAATCTCATGTATTTGCACACACGAGTGACCGGCAACAATGACCACGGCAAAAATATCACCACTGGCGATGTTTGGTGTCTCCTAAGATACCATCGTTGAAATAGCAATCTTTTGGTAATAATGTGCGATATCAAGGAGCTGCATGATAAAACCTTGGTGATTTGATTCTTCTTCTGCCAATTAGAAGATCAAAACTCATAACTGCACTTCTATACCCGTGGTTATTATTGACTTCATAAAATATTTTTCAAAATACCGTTTTATCTCTAAAGGTCGCGTGTTCAAAATTTTTATGCAAAACTCGGGAAATTTGCGATTTCTACATGTCAGATATGACACGGAAGCAGAGCGAGAAAATGGGGCAAATAGCCTTTATTGGTAACAATAAAGCAACCACAAACAAACACAGAAAACCATTGCGGTATCACTGTGGAAAGTAGCTGCCAGCGAGCTCGCAAGAATCGTGATAATGATTCAGCGTGCTGCAGGTATGCAACAGCTGATGCCGCAAAGCATGGAACCGCTCGTAAGCGCTGGGCTATGCCC